TAGCAGTTATATCCTTCATCCTAGCTGCCATCTCTGGGTCTTCTTTAACTGTAAATCTTTCTTCCTTGTTAAACAATTTGGGAAATGTCAGTTTCCGTCGCTTACTGGTGCTGGCTTGGACTTCTGCAGACAGCTCAAACCTCTTGGCATCAATCTCGACCTCTTCAAGTATGTCCTCCATATCATAAAACAAATCCTTGAGATCAGCAAGCCATAACTTCACAAAGCGGTCTCTTCCTTGCTTCTCTTCAGCATCTTCAAGTAGAGCACTGATTTTTGGCAAAAGATTCCTCCAATTTTGCAGCTCGACACGAACTTTCTCTGGCAAATTCAGCCATTCACTTACAGAAGAACTCAACTTCGAGAGCAATAAATCGACCGTTGCTGACAAAAGAGCACCTCCAGCAAGGGTTGCAACTTCCATAGTTCGATTTGAACGAGAGAAGCAATATTCTGCAAGAATGATGTGATTGATCATTTCAACAAGTCTTCAATTTATTGGTATCATATATTAGTACTGTTTTGAAAATTTTGTCTTATATCTCTTTATAATGAAATTGAAAAATAAGAACAAAAGAAATAAGATCTGAAAATGCATTTTTTTTGTCCCCGATAAAATTAAGAAATAACTAGACAAAAAATAACAAGAAATATATGTTTGTATTGAAATTAAATTATACAGATATGTTTCTGAACTCGAGGGTGGCAACGGTAATATTTGAAAAGAAAAGCAAAGGAAGACATATACAAAGTTACAAACAAAAATCAGAAGCACATACGTAAATATAATATAAAATAAGTACCTTAATTTCAATGCTACAAGCTGAGAAGATGCCTTCCAAGTTCGAACAAGATAATAAAAAAAAAAAGAGTGATGAATTTGGATGGTGGAAGAGGCAGAATGCAGAGACGGATCTTAATAGGATTACATTCTGCTTTGATTTTAGTTGAGTGATTGCTCTTCTTTGATTGATTCCATCCCACCGGTTTCTACTGCAAACAAGGCAAAAGGGCGACAATTTATCTGAGAAGCATAAACCAAAAATCATATCATAAAGAAAGGAAAAAGGCGGATGTATAAACCAAAAACTATATGAGATGCACGTAATTAAGTAATTACATAAGTACTTTCTCTGATTATTTTTAATGGTGCTAATTTGATTTTGTGATTT